TTCTTGTTGCAGACTCTAAACTTCTTCTATAGGCATAGGCATAGTACTTCTATGATTCATGCTAAGAATACATGAAATTTCTACTTTTAGAGTCTTGACAAGCTCATGAAGATCTGCAATAGTTGCAAATCTATTCTCACTTCCACTAAGAGTAGCATCTATAATCTTTCCTTCCATAGACAACTCAAACAAATTCAAAAAGTTAAATTAAAAGAGGGTAATCCAAATCTTCTAATAAAAATTTCTACAAAGAAGGATAATCCATTCTTTTTAAGAAAAAAATTAATTTTAGAAAATAAGATATTTTATTTAAAAATAAGTAGTTTGTAACCTTCAAAATACAACAATAGAAGTGAGTTAATCTACTTATTTCTAAAATAAGATTAAAATAGTATATTAGTATTTTTGTTAAACTATCAAGAATATCAATCTCGAAGAAAGAAAATCCTCAATATACTCTTGTGTCACTAAAAAAAATTAAAAAGTCATTCAAAAGGTGATATAATATTAAATTAAAATGGCTATTACTAAAAACATAAAGACTAGAAAGTCTTGAAATAAGACTAAAAACTAGAAAAGCATTGACAAGAGTGAAGAAGGCTTCACTCTTGCCTTCATATATACTCTTAACTAGGAGCTACGTGGCAATGTCATATAGGACCTCTAAAACATGTTGACTTTGTTAGCTTCATATCTTAACTTGCAAGGCAAGTTATCTATGTATGCACCACATAGTTAACTTGTTTCACAAGCTATAACATGGAATTGACTTGTTCTATAAGCTATCAATACGTAGTTAACTTATTAGCCAAGTTTCTATCTTACAAATACATCTAAAGTCAAAACCACATTTAGAAAGCTTCTAAGAATATTTTTTAGAAGACTTTATGAAATTAATTTATATTTACCTAATTCTACCTAATCATATAAGTAACTATTGGAATAAATGCATATGTCCGTGATACAACGCCAACTTCATTGTTGGCAATGCTCAGACATTCTTAAAGCATAATCGTATAAATTATAAATTTGATGGATTCCTCATTGCATCATCTTACAAGAGCCTTAGAAAACTCCATTTAGTAAGACATATAGAAAAATAAGATAGAATTGACAAAACAGATTCTCACATTCTGTAAGCATGTGAACAAAAAGGAAAATATCCAATGCAAATATTAAAATTTTGAATAAATGATATCTTGCATATGGTTTTATTAATGTGCCTCCAATATGTATTCACTTATTAATCTATCTTTCCTTATTTTTATATTCCCATGTTTCTATGCTTAGCTAATTAGAAACTTTCTTAGTTTCTTTATATTATATCCATGTTATTTTATATAATAGATATTTATACTTAATATAAATTATAAAAGTTTATTTGATTTTATGAGATGAAGCTCCCAATATAAATGCAACAACACAAGGACTTGACAAATTTTATCCTAAAACTAGCTTCCAACTGCCAAAATCAAAAGCAATACATAAAGCTACCTATCTACAAAATGCTTTTCCATCACAACAAATGGAATTTCACCTTAGTATAGTTGCAACATTCACCCTAACAATGCAACAACTAATTCCTTCCTCATGTATTACTTTTATTGTTTCCATAGTTACTATAATTATTGAATTAGTCATATTGCAAGTTAAAGCTTCATTTATTAGGGTTGAAAGCTTAGAGAGTTTTTTCTTATAGCTTGTAAGAAAAATTTGCCATAGCATATGTATTATAGCAACTATTAAAAGTATTTGGAATAAGGTTTGATGTATAATCCTCACGGAGTCTTGTATACATTTCTATTGGCATGAAGAAGTGGTTCATGGATAGACATGGAGTTGATGGTATTGATAATAGTTTTGATTGCTTTCTTCTTCAAATTCTAATTTTTTGTTTTAGTAACTGTGGTTGAGAAAGAAAGGATGTTATAAAAATCAATTTTTAGAGCTGCTTTCATAATTGTACATTTTAGGATTCTTCTAAGTCATGTCATGCCTTTCTATACATTGCATTACAAAGTGTGCTTATATTTATTCAAACATTATTCAAACATTGAAGACTTCAACTACAATAAAAATATAGAATATAAATGATGATACTATATTATCCATATTATTGATCCAAAATTAGAAATATATATTATATTTGGTTTGTCTAGATATTATTAGAAATATTATTCTATCACATCTTCTGAAGGCATCTCATGTACATTTTTATTTGTATGAAGGACACATATTGCTACAGAACTGGTTTGCAAATCACTTGATTTTATTTGATTTAAAGTTTGACAAAAACTTGACATCAACTGTAAATTGAGTCTTATAAAATCTTATAAACTGCTTTTAAGCACATCAAAAGTATTGACAGTGCATAACATGCAGAAAAACCACCAATGATTAAAACCAATAAAAAAATTACATTCTAAATTTCGACATCCACACTTAACGTTGTTATTTCTTGGTTGAGAAAATTGCTGAAGAATTATCAAATTAAGAGATTCTAATTTGAATAATGTCTAATTTTGGAGATCGAGATCATAATTAAAAAGATGATTATTAGCTGCACATCAATAATTGAATCAAGCATAACGTGATTTCAAATTTCAAAAAATTGGGTGCATGGTCAATGGGAGAACACGCAGGAACACCAAGATTGAGGTGACGAAACCAAGACCAAGAGATAATTATGGTGGTCCCAGCTGAGTTGAGAATGTAACCAATAAGCACCAATCGCTTGAAAAGCATCGATACTCCAAACAAAAATATAAAAAAATAAAAGAAGACATAAGGAAAAGTACCCAAATTAGAGAATGACTTGCAAAAGAAGAACACATTTTAAATGAGTAACGTGATGTAATCAAAGACAAAAGTCAGAGCTGTACAAGATTGCACAAAATACACCATCAATGATTCTTTCACAATTTAAAAACACATATTCAAAAGCAGCGTTGTAAGGCTGAGAATTGACTTACAAACAGGTGTCCTTCACCTAGAAATGAATGTTCTTATCACGTTACTTGAATAGTAATTAACAATTGACTTTCTTTGCATACCTCCATGTCGGAATCAACAGTTCCGAAGTAGACTTAACCTTTCATGCCATGGACATGTACTGGGGACTCAAAACCGACTTCGTGTAGGGCTGCGGGACATGTGATCACCTCGAGGAGATCTACCACAGCACCAAAAGATATAAGAATAAGCTCTTTACAAACAAAACGGATGTAAAAATTAAAACATTAGATATCAATCACTGCAAGAGAAACAAAGATAAGAATCACAGCTTCTTCAAACATTGCGACAATGAAGTGGGCCACTACTGAAGGCCCAGTTCACAGATATGGTTTGAGTTAGCAACTGTTTTTCATTCATGTTAGCAATTGCTCCCTGAGCCTCCTTTCTTATTTTATATTCAATCAATGCATAGCCCTACATTCGCAATACCGCTCAAACAATTACAAAATCATAATGGAGACACAAATGCAAGCGTATCGATAATTACGCACCTCGTCAGAAGTCATATTACTCGTAGAAACCCGTGCCCACTCCAAAATAGATCAAAAACTTCAAGTTCGGATTCCTCAACGTGGACGAAGGCAGAGGAGTTGGCAAAGAAGTGGTTTTCAAAATCCCACAATGCGATTAACTGCTGCACAAATTGTGTAAGCCAGTAAGTGTTCATACATCTAACTTTCTGAGTCCAATCTTGTCAAGATTTAAGTTATGTTTCAGATATAAGATTCGATCTGTTCACTTAAACTGATTACAAACCTTTGTCTTCCATTTTTGCATACGTAGGATAGTGGCTGTTGCGAATGCGAATTATTGTCTCCACCTTCTTGGGTGATAGAGCGTCAGGAGCCAACTTGACCTCAGTCTATGAGGCACATCTGGACACCACAGAGGCTTGGTTGGTAATGGATAATTTCCTCGGCGGCTTGGTGCTGGTAAAGTAGGTAACATATTCCTTGATATCACTGTATTCTACAGTGTGTGAAACTGTAAGGGTAGATCATTATAACAGTACGTGAAGTTTGCCCACCAGTGGCTCAAGTGCACTGACAAATATTGTTGCAAGGTTGACCTGCAAAACTTCCAAGCTCTTCATTTTATGGCACATTCTATGCTGGAAGTCACCACTAAAGCCTTCCAGGTACTAGAATGGTTGGTGGAATTTTTTCCCTAAAGCTTCCGATGGGGTGTGCCAGGAAGCTAGATTCACACATTCGGTTTTATTCGAGAGGATCTGTCAACTTTTCACTACGAACATCTCCGTTGAAAAGTCCCCTCATTCTTCTGTTGTGAATCTTGTGCGAACTTTCGTTCAGCTTACTGATGTGCTCCTGTTTGATAATCTCGCCCAATCAATTTAGGACCACTGGAGGGCACACAAAGACCAATGTACATGTTGAAAGTGCATATTACTTCTGAAGCGAATTGAACAGAATCATTCTTCAGCGGTTCTCAGAGTAGCTTTACATACAATTGAATGAACAACGCTAATCTTGCCTATAGTTTGTTATTCTATGAAAACTAATGATTTTTTATTCTCGGAAAGATCTTCAATAATTGTAGGACGGTGGAATAGTATTTATAGCTTGCATGACCTATGTCGCAGCTTGTGCTACTTCAGTACATCTGGGTACTAATCCAACTTCTCTCTACGTGAGTAAACCATCCGGTCTCGAGCAGACAAAAAATCAGAATCTCCAACCTACATGTCTTAATTTTTCTGCACTGTTCAGTAACTTGTAGGATAATTTATCTCTAATACAATTGATTCGCTGAACGTACAATAGCAGCTGACCTAGGTGAGAGCAGCAATACATTCATTCCCAAGATAGCTGCACCTCAGCCTCAGATGTCTGATTGCTGGAACACAACATACGGTAGTGGATAGGTGTCGGCCGGGGGATTCATGACTTGTGGGGCAGGAATTTCACGACACACAAGCAAGTCAGACGCCAGAGGCAAGAAAAAGCCACAGGTTCTCAAGCAAGTGCACAAACGTTAAGGCAACCAATCTTTACTTCACAATCGACCAAGTACAAAATGAACCAAAGCAGCTGCAAGTTGTGACGAAGAGTCGAGCTACCCTATTCAGTTATGCTAACCATAAAATGCACTACCCTACTCAAAGCAATCTCTGCTTAAGTACACAAAACCACATCTCTGTGATCTCTAGAGACACCGCTAAACGACCATTGAGAAAGCTACACGGGCTTGCAAAAAAGTCAGCTAGCCAAGGCCGTTCGCCTTAGCCGAAAGATTCAGTCATGTACCCTGCAGGGTCCAACAGGCTGCATACTTCACAAATCTTGAGGATCGGAGAATCCATCAGTTCTTGTTGGTTCTACTTACTGAGGAAGATTGCTACTCGATGCAGCCACAGATAAAACGTTAACTAGTAAATTCAAACACAGGTAATGAACACTAGGTTTTACCCGCCAAAGGTTTCTCCTCTTCCTTAGGTGTAGTTCCCCCAGATGTGCCCGTTGAAAGACCAACAGTTGTAGAAGAATCCACTTGAGTCACGGTCGAAGGCCCAGTTTGTTCAACTGCTAGAGTTGGCTTTACACTATCCACGTTATCTATTTCAGGGACTCCAGTGCTTGCAACGGCTTCTTCATCGGAAGCTCTAGAGACACCAGGCTTGATGACTGCAACATCTGCAGCAAGCTGCTGTTGAGCTGGTTCAACTGCATTACTAACCGGAGGAGCATGGTGCTGGGCAGGGGCAGAAATGCTCAATTGGTGAGCAAGACTACTTTCGATACTTGTAGTAGTCTGCTGCTGAGCAGAGGTTGAAGCCATGGGTTGTGTAACTGCAGCAGTTGGCGCACTCGGTAAAAGTCCCTGAGAGGCAGAAACGGCGGGAACAGGAGTAGTGCCTTGATGCGTAGCGGCAGTATTTGAAGGAGGAGCTTGGTGAGGGATTGAAGACTTAACGTCTGGAGTATTGAGCGGCTGCATCGGAAGCGGCTGAACGGGAGTTAATCCTGGAGTGGTTGTGCCTGGTTGGATGGGTGTGTGGAAATTGGAAGAAGCGCCTGGTAATGGCGTTGCAGTGAAAGCAGCGCTGAGTTGTAAAGGTGTGGCTGGTGTAGTTAGAGGCATTGGTGGTGCAGCGATGGTATTTGGGGTCCCGTTCAATGGCCTTGATGAAGCTTCAACAACAATGTCTTTGTTGGGGAACTTATTGCTGGACGCATTCGCTTCCCTGGCCTGCTGAAGGCGCTGCTCTGTTTCAGGTCTTCGACAAACTTTCCTAAGTGGCACAACCTCCTGAAATGAATTGCAGTACATAGTCAACACCACTGCTTCACACAAATTGTTGATACTTGAATAATTTAGACTAGCCGATATTTAATAGCTGTTGCCACAAATAAAGAAGAACCGAGGTGAAATGAAGATTTCACACGAACTGGAGAATCTACGTACATTAGAAACAATAGTGCCAAGTGCAAGAAGTTATCTTAGAAGGAAACATGGATGTTAAGTATTACTGGACTTCAAAGGATTCCAACTGGGATAAAAGTAAAATAAAATCTGGTACTACCTCTGTTTGATCGTGACGATAGCGAACCCAGAAACGGCACCGACAACCACGTACGTCGTGTCTGCGTCTTTGTACGTCCAAAATGTCCGCATCGAAGTACAAAGCCTGCTCACTGCCCTCCTGCACCAGTAAGAAAGAATTAAATAATTCTGAATCATTTTCATGAAGTTTTGCGGCAGAGGAAAACTTCACTAGATCAGACATGCTTGGTCAGAAATATTCAGACCATCCTAGCACTGAACACATATATCGTTGCAGTAGAAAAAATGACGCTTGTGCACGATTGTAACGTGCACTCAACAATAACGTGCTAATTTCATTAAAAAAAAGAAAATTTCAAGGGCAACAATATCTAAAATAGTCAATGACTTTTGTGCACCTACCTGAAAACACAGGATCAAATCACCAGGCAGCACTGCCACGCACTCGGTTGTCTCACAGGGAAGTGATCGTTGACGAACTGCAGTTGCAATATTGACCCACTCATCTTCTTCAGACCCAAATCCAGCAAACCTAACCCGCACTTCTGGTTCACCATTCTCACCTGTACGCTTGTTAATAAAGGCCGAAACATCATACCTGCATACCAATTTACCAACCCCTCATCAATGCTCGCTAAGTGAAGACTACTGTTAATACTGTACTATTTGCATACTATTAACAGTAGTCTGTCGGTATTGGTTGATAACAGTGTGTGTGTGTGTGTGTGTGTGTGTGTGTGTGTGAGCGAGAGAGAGAGAGAACACATACCATGCACCATCTCTAGCTGACTTGGCTTCAAAATCCATTGGCACATGGACGTTTGGTTTTTTGGCAGCACCTGTAATAACATTAACACGATCAACAAGTATACACAGTCTAACGGTAACCAGCATGATGACCTACTTAAAATGACCTGATAAATCATCAATGCGATCTTATACCATACACCCTAACATCATTATAATATCACGCGGCAAAAGTAGTGATTGTCAAAAGATCGTAGACAAAACACATAAGTGTGCATTGAAACCAATTTATTGCTTATAAAGACCCACTTACTTGGTCCTGCCACAACAACCGATTTTGCAGCAGAAGGTGTCTCTCCACCTGGCCCAACACCTTTGAGCTTGTCAATCTTAGCTTTCTGAGCATGCCGCCGATTTTGGAACCAATTCCACACCTGCTCAAACCCAAGGCATTTCTGTGAACAAATATTGAGGCTAAACGCTCAAGTGGAGACGCTTATCTTTGCCAAATTAATATGTTTAAGTACATGTTTAACTAGCCTCTAGAAACCAATCTTGTGGCATAGGAGAACCAAATAACACTGGTGCAAAACTGTGTATCTGGGTTTGTTTGCGAAAAATGACACAAATTGAAAAGAAACAAACCTGCTTCCATTGAACTGGCCTTTGACCGCTACGCTCAGAAGAGTTACTGGTCAAACACAAACAATTACCATCAGGGTGCGAAGAGAAAATCGCTTTCATATAAATAAATTACAAACTATGACCTATCTAGTACAATACATCGAACATCATCACACATGAAAATCTATTACCACTCAAAATATTGAAGCATTTTATGAAATATTTTTATTCAGCTCCATTTTTAAAATAGGGAAGTAATAGAGACGTACGTGAACTTATCTGCAAGTGTCTCAACAATGCTACGGGCTGGGGTTGCCCCATTGCTTGCATCAAGAGCTTTCTCCATATCTGCGACCTAATAGGATCCAACCAGACAACCATTGACAGAATTAAAAGGTGAATCAATATGTACAAAGCAATCTAACACTGCAGCGCCGCCACGAAAAATCGGTCACGGTGAATGGTTTATTTCACTTTGAACTTGCATAGTGACTTAAGACGGAAGATAGTGCGATAGAAGATAGCTACGTCAGTGTATATATTTCCAAAAGAGGAAGTTTGTTATAACTAAAACTTGAATGTCAATGACATGAAGATAATTAAGATCAACTTCTTAGTATTTTAAACAATATGTTCATGAAGTACATTCCCGAGTCCCTTTTAATCGGGGGAAATGCTGAAAATTTCGCGAAAGTGTGGAATCATCCAGGCTGAGGTTTCACTTAAACGAGATGCTGATTATAAGATAAGAATTGAGTTATTTTTCACGATTAATTGCAAACTTGAGCAGATAAGTTAACCCAACATAATGCCCCCGTCGGCGCAATGAACAGTCAACAAATATGATGTTTGCAACCCAAAAAGATAGAATGTAGAGTCCACAGAGCAGTACCTCTGCAGGTAGAAATCGGAAGGCAGTGCCTCCGCTCATGGGAGTGCGTCCCATGATGATCACTTCTCTTACACAGCAGCCAAAAACTTCGAATGAATATGTCTAACTTCAATCTAGGCCCCTCATACTCTAGATTTCTCCTGCAATTCTCCGGAACGAACCATCGCAACTCCAAAAGTAAAAAACCTTGAGAACCCTCTCAAAGTTTGTCATCCTTATTCTATTATCCTGCTGCAGAAAGAACAACAGCAACAGAGCTCCATTCCGCTGCTTCGCCCTGTAAAACTACTTTCCCCATCGCGTTCTCAATTCCTGAAGGGGGCTCTTCAAAACGCGGTAAATAACCACGAAAGCTCAGCCCCAACAGCCCAGAGAATAGTACCCAATAATGATCACTGCAGCAATCGAAGAATCATCCGCGTCGCAAGAAAACACGTATCATACTCCAGCAACCCAAAACAACGAAGACCCCCGCACCAATGCTGTAATCTTCGATCTTTGGAAGCTCCTCAGCACTCAATTTCGAACTGCACTCCAATGTGATCATGAGTCAGAATTGAGGCAAAAATCGGGGCATGTCGAAATACGCATACACAGACTACGAGTTCTTCAGACTATTGAATTTGTCCTCTCTTGGAAAATTGTACTCTTAGGGCCATTGAAGCGAACGTTTAATCAAAACTTTGAAGCAAAAGATGCAACGAAACTTGTGCATGCCAAGAGTTACTTTCAACTCGGGCGTGGTGCAGAGTGTGAAAGTCTGATTGGGGGGATAATCTGGCAGAACACCATAGACCCAGTAAAAATGAAACCAACGATTTGAACGAAAGATGATGATCTCGACGACGCCCCTAAACTTACTTAGGGCTATGACGACGGTGATAGGCAACGAAGGATCGTTTGCTTGAAAGTAGGAAAGAGTTAGGGTATGGTCGCATCAGGTGCACTCGACGGTAGCCGCGCCCTAATACCAAGAGACCTACTATTCATACGAGATTTTGCACATCACCGTGGTCTGCATTGGAAACAGACATCATCAAGATACAAGATGCTAAAGCAAGCGAAACCGACGACCAGGACAAAGTAAATTTGCACGTCTTCATGTTGTGCCTTGTTTACCTCCCTGTAGTTCACATGAGCACATCGATTTCGTAGAATCATCGCATCTTGAGCTATAAGTTAAGGCAAGTTTACACTCTGTGCTGTGGGATAAAGCTTAGGACAACAAATCTCAACCGTGTTTGAAAACATGTGACAATATGGTGGGAAAATAAAAAAATTATCGCAGCTTCGTGAACGTTACCACGACAGAGCCATGACGAAATCTGTAAGTGGGAACTCCTTGTGGGTAGCTTTGCAAGTGCTCTTGATGATATAACCCGTAAATTTCTTAAGACAAAAACCTCTATTCGTGCCGTGACGCGTCTTTTACCGAACATCCACGACCCCTGGTTTGAATTTTGAAAATAAAAAATTGTGCCCTGTCCCGCGTGAGAGGGTGTAAACCCGCCTTTTGCAGCCACTGCGAACACGTTGTGTCCTTACATAATTTGGCCTGAATTTTCCGCTTGGATTTTTCGTTTCTTTCCTGCACTTGTCGATCTCATTGAATCGAAGACAATCCTTCGTAACTGCCTTTTTCACATGAGCTGCTCTAGGAGCTAAAGTTTTAAATCAACCCTTGGCATTCAAAGCCGATTCGTCCGCGTCGACTTAGCCGCAGTGCCATCACCTTCATAAGTCGAGGTTTAAGGCTTAAAGGTGGGTAGCTTTGCACAATCAAAGGAACCAGATGTTGGTTATTCATGTACTCTGATTGGTTCTTAGATCAGGAAACGTCGTTTAAGTCATACTTAAGTCAGGCCCTCCGCTTCAACCTGTTTGAACATGTGCAGTGCTTCATCAATTTGGCCACTGTATTGCTCTTGACCAATGTGTATAGATCATTCTTCACAAATTCTCTAGCTGTGCCTTGAGAACCTATGTAGGTGTAATTTCTTGCTCTCAGATTCGTGGATATTAATCACAATGTCAAAACCACAAAAAGTCAAGCACGGAACTACAACAATGGCAGCACAACGGAGAATTGCTTTGGTTGTAATCCTGAAGAATTCGACCCATTTCCCCCTATTTTTCATGAGAATTTTCTGTTCTCTTGCAGGTCGTTGTGTAGAGGCAGGTCAGATTGGTTTCTCAAAACCTAAGTACTTTGCAGAATTATTAAGCAATGGTCATCTTCTACATGACCGTGCCTAAAGTCCTGTTTTAAGTGTCTGTTATGGGTCTGTGCATCACTAGGTTTGTTGCAGGAAGCACAATGAAACATATATTCCTGCGAAGGGAAATGTGAAAAAGCTGAGCTCGTGCTGCAACACATTCGACATGTGGGTCTTTACTCCAAACTTGGTACCTCAGTTTTGCCTTCTTTGTCTAGAGTATTTGTGATCAAATAGGCATCTTATTTTCATTCCAGTAATGTTGAAATTGGCTGAGGTCATTGCTTTCGTGCACACACTGAAAATGAACTGTTTTTCATGTACAATCAACTGTCAGAATGTGTTACAAAGTAACTTCTGCTACTAAACAAAGTTATATGAGGGGACTCTCATACCCTCTAATTTGTCATTATACACTTTGCTGAACATTAGAAAGAGAGAGGATCCAAAGGAAAATGAGGACCATAGTCTTTTATCTATGTTGTTATTGTAATCCACTCATAAGAATTTATTTGACCTTATTTCTATCTATATGTTAACATGCCTCTTCTAAACTACTACCAAACAATTCAAAAGCATGGATTCTAAGTGACAATGCTAAAACAAGTTGTAACATCCTTCTTAGAACCATCACTTGTTTGAAGTAAATTGTCAAAATCATGGCACATTAGAATCCAATTTTCACAACAATGATCATAGAGTTTGTAAGGTTAATGCTTGAACTATAATTAATATGCATATTACTTATAAGAGACCTAATGGAAAAATCAAGCTTAAGTTGACCAAGAAAGTTGAGAAGTTGACCTAATAACATTGTTTAGCTAAGAAAGGTAGCAACCAATATTGAGGTCAACGTAAGAAGAACTAAATTTTGACAACTTACTTAAAATACCATTTTTTAAATTTTTTCTGTAATACTTATAATATTTGGGCATAGGTTGTAGAATAAGTTATGAAAGCAAATAAATTTTTCTTCAAAGTTTTTAGTACATTGTTTGTGTCTCAAATTTTCTTAGCAAGATTTAGAGTTTAATACATGGCATAGCTTTAGATGTAAGACAGATTCTAAGAAATCCAATTACAATCCATTGTATAATAAATTAGTACTAAAACATCTCTTAAAAATATGATTGTTAAAGAATATTTATGTTTTTAAAAAGATTTTTTAGCTAGCATTTTAATAAAGATGTCTATTGTTTGATTTTATTTGAATTTATGTATGAGACAAAGATTTCATCTTGAATTAATCTTTTTCAATTAAATGGTTGTATAATTTAATATATTTAGACATAGTAGAGAAAGGAAAAAATACAAGTTTAATTGCACTTACATTGATGCAATATAAGTGTACATCCATTTTTATTGATGTGGATCCAACTTCAATATTATTAGATATTTTTTAGTTTGAGTAGCTTGTAGAAATCTTATGAGAAGAGAAATTAAGTACTTTAATCTTTTGCAAGATGTATTTCAAGTAGATAGCTTTTTAGCTCATTGTACTAAAGCTTGGTATTTGGCTTTGGTTGTTGAGAGAAAAAAATTTGGATGTTTTTTTACTTACTTAAGATATTGCTTCTCTATAAGCAAGAACATAAGCCTACATGTGCTATGGAAAGAAACCTTACAAGAATCTCAATATAAGTCAATGTGGCTATAAAATTAAAAAAAAATGGTGAATATTAGCAGGGCCAAAGAAATTAGAAGAAGGATTATATTGATAAATAATATTATAGTTAGTTATGTGCTTAAAATATTGTAAGATATGAAGCACTATAGATCAATGAATATTCTTTGAATATGATATTATGTGGCTTACAAATCCAACTGCATGTGAAAAATTTGGGCATGTGTAGATAAGATATAAGAAGTGGCCAATTGAATGATATTTAATTTGTTAATTAAAGTCTAAGGTGTTATAATGAAGAAAAAATGATAATTTTTTTATCAATGGAATTGCAATAAGACAACATTCAAGCATATTAGTACAAATAAGAATTTATTAAACATATTTGGTTTTATAAATAAAGATTAGTAATATAAAAAAGATAAATTCTACTCTAAGGTAGTCTTTGATAGAACTAAGGTACTTTATCTTGTGCTAGAGACAAAATTATTTATTGATATCACTGATTTGATCCAAAATTCTAGTGAGTAATACATCATTAATATATAAGGTGACAATGATAAGAGCTGATTCTTTGTAGATGTATTATAAACTGTGGTTGGTAGAATTGCAACAACAATAGTTAACAAGGAATGAAGAGTTGATCTCCTCATATCATGTTTAAGAGCTATGTTTGAGCTTGTAAATAGATTTAATTAATCTATGGATTAAAACTTCTTTTATAGAAATTTAGAAACCAAGAAATTACAACATGTAGATAGATTCTTATAATTTTCTATTAAAAAATGTTGTAACTATATCTATGTATAGGATTATTTATTTAGAGCATATAGTCAAAGAAATAATGGCATATAGTATGTGTTTTTTTACTATCAATGCAAAAGTTTATAAATAATCTATGTTTTATTTTTATTTACATCTCTTAGCGACAAATTTAAAACTTATTCTAGTATGAATAGAATTTAGATTGAATCTAATCCACAAAATCTAATAATATATTAAAACTTTTTTATTATAAGATATTAACACTAATTTTAAAGTCTAATATTTATTATAAGAATTAATTTTGGCTAACATTACTTTGAGACATCTAAGATCAAGAAGATCTTATTAAAAACTAATGTTTTCATCAAGACACTCTTAAACTTTCTTTAAATAATCACTTGGTGGTCTTGAAGTGAGACAGAAGTAGTAATTATAATACTTAGATAGAAAGAGAGCATAATTATAAGAAAAACTAATTAGAGCTAATAAAATTATTTTTTGAGTATATTTGGATGGAACACAATAAATCACTTTTAGAGAGGTGGAACAAAAATCTTCAATTTCATCTTAAAGAGATAGATTTGTAATAGCTTCGTCTTCTTTTTGATAAGCAAGGTCTTAGATGTAGTCTAAAGATGGATCAAAGATGTATGCTTTAAATAATTCTTCAAAAGATTTAGTGCTAGATTAATGGATTCATCTATGTTTAAAAAGAAAGATAAATAGAAATCCTTTAAAAAATAAGAAGTTAGTTTTGAAAATTCATTGGATTAATTTTCATTAGTTAAATCACTCAATTAATTAGAATCTTGTAGCTAAGCAAGTCAAAACAACAAAAGGCTTTATTTTACTTATAGTAGTCTATGTAAATAGCAACAATAGATTTAGAGTCAAGTTTTGTTATTTTTCTTAAAGAATGTGTACAAAAATATATAATCCAAGAACAAATAGATATTAGAAATTAGATTTTTTTTAATTATTTTTTATATAGATTAATCAATAAAAGATGCTTATTTGAGTTGTAATTTTGAAGATAGTTAGTAGATTTAATTACTTCTACTTCCAAATAGATTGGCATATTGGAATCCATTGCTATGTTCAAAGTAACTTCAATTAGTTTTTCTTTTTAATCATACCATTTTAATCAAGTAAATATAAAATAACAAGTTTCTTATTAATATTATGGTATTTGAAGAATTTATAAAATTCTTCAAATAAATAATCTACTTCCAAGTTAGAATGAAGACAAGCAATACATGTATAGATGAATAATTTAATTTGGCGCTTAAAACATTGTAATGAGGAAAAATATTAAATTTTTTATTTTATAATATAACTAGATATTATAAGAAAATTTATTTTTATATATATAAAGTATAATTCCTTTGTTAAATAAAAAGTAGAAAAATAATCTACATAAGCTAAAATATACGAATTAAAGAAACCAAATATTGATGAAGGCATAAATCTTTAAAAAAATTATGCAATGAAATGTTTTTTTAGTGTAAGAATCACAAAATTATAGCTTGTTGGTAAAAATTCAAATTCCAAAATCAAATTTATTCTTTGTCATATAAATTAGTTATTTGTGACTTAAGATACTAAGTTGTTTGTGATAGATAATTTTCACAAATTACAATTAAAAATAATCAAAAGATTGGATTCAACAACATTGCAAGTAGTATGAGATGCAAAGGTTGTAGAATCAACTTTGTAAAGAAGATTAGAAGGATCTCTATAAATAATAAGAGTTTATTTGCTAAGCTCATTATGATTGAATAAGAGATAGTTTTATAAAATAAAAACAATGATATTGCCTTTATAAGCTAGCTTTTTAGCCAAAAGTGATTTAATTCTAATAGATAAAAGATTATAAATATTAGAAGAGACTTTACTACTAGTAATAGAAATAATTATTGAGGAAAGAAACACTTATAGTTACTGAGCAAAAAAAGTTTTGTTGAATTTAACTCATCATAGCCACCAAGTTGATTTCCTCAAGTAAATTAGTTTTGTTTGTATTGATGAAATCAAAATTAATTTGCTTCTTGGTTGCATTGCCTTGTTATTTTTTATATTAGTAATATTTTTTTATATTTCTTGTAATTGAATAAAGATCAAATATTTTATTTGGTTATGTACTTATTTAATGACCTTTTTAAATAAAATGTATGCAAACCACTCTTTCTTTCTTCTTTGTTGATTTAATAATGGCGCAAGTAAGCTTGTACTTTTTTTGCTCAGTAACTATAAGTGTTTTTTTAGCTAAGTAATTAATCTTGCAATATTTTCTTTCAATCGTGATAAAAAATTAAGTTTTAAAGAATAATATCTCAAGATTTGATATAAAGATTGTAATAAACAAGCTTTGGAAGGAAACCTAAGATTTAAAGAGATAATCAAGAGGAATTTTAATTAATGTGTGGTCTTCAATTGTTTCATAAGATTTTGTAAGGCTAGTATCAATTCTATTAATCTTGACAAAGTATTCTTTATAGCTTGCATTATCTATCATCTTTAAGAAATTAATTTTTTTGCAAAGATTAATTTCCTCTTGAAGTAAAAAAAATTTCAAACTTATTATTTAATTTCTACCAAAGAATACGGTGAACTTTCTTATACTTCTTGACAATTGGAAAAATTGTCTTGGTTACAATTATTATGATAATTATAATAAAATTTTAATATTCTTCTAAAAAATACTAATGATAAGACGATTTGGAATTGTTGGTATTGCATTGACAAGAAGCATTTTGATTATAATAGTAAATACAATGCAAATTTGTAAGGTAGCGAAGCTAATAGTTGTGGTTGAAGTGAATGCAATTGCTATTAGAGTGTTAACTAAATACCATTATTTATAAGATTTATTTTGTGTGAATAAAAATTTATAACTTTTAGATATATTTTTGTACATAATAAAATATAACATATGTTTAACATATTTTTATTAGAAAAAATAAATTAATAAAGATATTTGTAACAATAAAATAAGAATCATTTAAATTTCAAATGATTATATCTTATTATTTTAGAACACGAATAGATTTTTAATATCCTTATATTTTTAATATAAAGATTAATATTATAAATAGTCGTGGTTTATTTATTTCATTAGTAATTAAAATTACTTTCTTACTATTAATATTATGTTAAATTAGTATCATTTTTTTAAAATTATATTATTGATGATTTTTTTTTTTTGCTTTAGTATGTGATATTTAATATATTTAAGCTTAGATTTATTTATAATATATATATATATATATAGTTTAATTTTAAAATAATTTGTAAATTTTTTAAACTTGTAGCATAAAGGAATTTTTTTAATATTGATAACTAACTTCCTTCACATGAAAGTCTTCACAAGTAATTATTCATTCATTTCTATCTTTAAGTAGATAAATATGCCCTACTTTCTTAAATTATATTTTCTGAATATCTCTTATATAAAGCATTTAAACTTTTTTCGAGTTTATAATATTTATACAATCAATTAGCTACTTTTGTGCAAGGACTTTAAAATATTGAAATATTTATTTTAATATTTTTATTTTATTTAAAATTGATAGTTTTTTTCCAATTTCCCTAATTTTCTTAAGTATGAAATTTTAAATTATTGCATGCATAATAATTGAAAAATATATTTTTGAAATTAAATATTCAAATACATAATTATATATTTAATTAATTAATTAATAATAAAATTTGAGAAATTTTAAATACATATTTTATATATTAATATTAATAATTATTTATATATTTATATATAAATTAAGAAAATAAAATAAAATAAAAACTTAATTCCTAAAACAAAAAATTTATTAAAAATCTATAATTTAATCATATTTAATTAATATTTTATTCTTACGATTTCATTTATTATAATTAATTATGTTAGTTTACCTATTCAGATTTTAAATTAAAAAATTAGTCTAATTGTCAATGATTTAGTTTTTCCAATAAAAGTCTTACAAATATTTAGGTTATTTTATTTTATGATTTAAAGTATTTCATATAAATTAATTATACAAACATCAATATTTATCCTTACATGAAATTAATTATCAAATACGAGTTAATTAAAAATCACTTTAAGAAACTCAGAAATATAATACAAACAATAAGGAAGTCTATATTTATGCACATGAATATCCAAACATATTCTCTGTAAATTCTCATCAAAGGTTTTCATTGAAACAGGTTCCTTTGCAAGGTTCGGCAGAATTGCAATTCTTAAATTCTCAATTCTTTTTGTGAAATTCTTATAGATTCAGAATTAAACATTCTCCAATCATGAAATAACCAAAATGGATTAGTTCAGTATCTGCAGGAAAAGAAAAAAGAACAATCTGGTACAATCTGCATGGAATAGAGGCCAGGAAGAATAGTTCAGAGCATGAAATCCACAAGTTTATTACAGAGATGCAGTATTTGTGAATAATGACAATAAAGGATAGATCTTTGAGACTTACAGGGCGTGATTATGGGCAATATTCAAGGAACTTGGGATACCCCACAGAATTTTTCTCAGCTTCAAAGCATTGCTTCACCTGATCATTTCTATTCCAGGCTGATTTCACTGTTGCAGGCTAAAGCTACGGACCAAGCATTTTAAGCGGTGATATAAGCACAAGGTCTTATGCACATAACTCGTCCCTGTGGAAGTTTAGAAAGCAAGCTTGAGAAGTAATGGAGCGGGTGTATAAGTGTTTTACAATCCTACAGAAACTGAAACTGGAATAAAAACTGACTGTTCTGACGATGTTAATGAAGTTAAGAGTGAGATCAAAACATAATTTCAGTGAGTGCGGAAGAAGGTGTGTAGAAAGAAGTATATGAAACTGGAAACGAGGGAATTCATAACTTAGGGGAAGTGAAGCTTGTACAGATATGGGTCTGTGACTGCCATAGCTCAAACTATAGCTGCTAACTTATTAAAATTACTTTCCTCGCACTATTTGCCATACACTGTCCGGTTTATATCCATACCAGCGCCTCAGAGGACTCAAGCAAAGGTCTTCGGTCTTTCAGTCCAGTACTCTTTATTCTATTTTTCTACGTTTGTTTTGAGCGAGTTTTCTATTATTGTTACAGGGCGCATGTTGCAATTCAAGCTCCAGCTCTTCACATGGAAACCCAGCTTGTTGGGAGCCCATTCTGAGGCTTGGTTGCAGTTGCTGCCACTTAGATAACTACTGAAACGTGTGTCTTGCTAGAGATTAGTGCACGGCCTGAGTTTTCAGAATGGTGGCATCCAGTGTGGATTTGGGCTTGGAGAATGTGTGGCCGTTCTCGTGAGAAGCCGTGCCGTTAGCTTCTGCCGCTGGTGCAGCTTTCTCACTGTGTTTGTCTGTGTAAGCTGAGTCATGGCATCCCAATGCTGCTCTGCCGGAGGGGTCCAAGTTGTTGGCCCATGCTTCGTCCCATGCCACAGCTGTGGCGGTGCTGCATGCTACCGAAGGACCTCCGGGGACCGTCATCCGGGCGGATTGCTGCCAAGAGGTTCACACGTGAAGCTAGGTTAGCAATATTTCTAGCAAAATCTATGATTTCACTTCTAGGTGGTTCAAAAAGTATTTGCTGTAAGCTTGAGTGCAGAGAGAGAGAGAGAGAGAGAGAGAGAGAGCAGCGCAGAGCAGAGCAGAATAGAAACAAGTTGTAAGAGTCTCTACTTGGGGGAAATGCTTCTCGAAGATCATTCGGTAGTAATATCCTTCTTTGGTGTTGGGCGTGTTGAAGGGGTACACATGCTTCGCGTGCTTCATCATCTGATCCGTCACCTAGAGTATCACAGACGACGGAGCAACAAGTTAGCTCTTCGTTTCTCGAGTGGAGTCCAAGCGTAAGAAAGTGGATCAGCAATTCTTGGCTCAGCGCATGCACAATGGTAATTTGAACAGGAGGGAATAGAAAAGAGAAAAAGGATGGACTTGTACATGGCTCTCCGCATATTCCTTGAGTCCATCAATCCAGCTGTAGCCCACTCCATCGCTGAATTGCTCCTTTTGCCTGTACAAAATGTGCTGCAGAGGCAAATACTCGTCACGTTTAGTTTCATCTCATCAACACACACACTAGAGAAACAGATGGATGGCGAAATAACTCTAGAACCCATTAATAGCAACAAAACATGAAGAATGGAGGGGGAGAGGGGGATTTAATGATGCGGAGGTGAGCACAAACCTTGGGCAAGTATGGTCTCTCTTCGTCATCGAAAGCTTTACGCAGCACCCACTTCTCAATTCTGCCCAGGTCCTTCCTGATCATCTTCTCGCTAGGGTCGATCATCATCGCAACGTCCATGAACTCCTTGTCAAGGAAGGGAACACGAGCTTCCAGACCCCAAGCAGAGGTTGATTTGTTGGCTCTCTGGCAATCGTACAAGTGTAGCGCCTTGATCTTGCGGACTAGTTCGTGGTGAAACTCCTCCCTGTTGGGAGCTTTGTGGAAGTAGAGGTAACCACCAAAGATCTCGTCGGATCCCTCCCCAGACAACACCATCTTCACACCCAGAGCCTTGATCTTCCGTGTCATGAGGAACATTGGTGTGCTCGCCCTAATGGTGGTCACGTCGTAGGTCTCCACATGGTAGATCACGTCAGACAGAGCGTCCAATCCTTCCTGCAGACATCCGATCCAGTCTCCCCATTAGCTCTGAGGAAACTAACGTCCGAACTGTTTGTGGAGCAGAATTATCATACGCGAGATGGAAAATAAAAGAATCTAGGGTGTGCTTGAAGTACTCACCTGGACGGTGAAGTTAAATTCGTGGTGGCGGGTGCCGATGTACTTGGCAACTTCCCTCGCAGCCTTCAGGTCGGGAGAACCCTGCAAATCGCAACGCAGCATGAGACGTCTGTTTCATAAGATTGGAGACAAAAAGCAAAAATCCCTCTGAGTGGGAAGGTGAAAGCTCGAGGGAGAGCTGAATTTTCAACAACAGAGGGAAGTTTTAAAGATGATGTGTGCACCTCAAGGCCAACACAGAAGGAGTGGAGCTCGTTGCCCCAGATTCTGACAGCTTTGGTTTCGGCAAGATGTCGGGCTGCCACTGATGCCACCAAGGAAGAATCCAAGCCTCCGGAAAGGAGCACACCGAAGGGGACGTCGGTCATGAGCCTCTTTACCACAGCCTGCAGGATCAGTCACGCACAAGTTAAAACCTGTTCTGAAACTAAAATTGAGCTGTCAATGACCCTTCCAATAAATCTTCTGAGGGTTCCAAACCTTCTCGAAGGCTGAACGTAGTTCCAGAGGCTGGTAAGGAGTTTCGGGAACAAAAGTCTCTGAGAACCACTGTGGGTTGTAGTAGCGACGGAGCCCTCCTGTTGCCAATAAAATCAAGGATCCTATAATCAGGTTCACTGTCTTCATTCAGCTGCTCAAATGACAAGTGATCACGCAGAAAAACCAAAACTGGCAACCAAAATGACAAGCTAAAACAAGGAACCACCAACCAGCTTTGCTTGAGTAGATGTGGCCTGGTGGAAAGACCTCAAGCCGTTCGCAATCGTCCTTCAAGGCTTTCATCTCCGAGGCAAACCACACAGTTCCTGCAAAATCATCAAGCCCAAGTTCCATCAGCGACCTCTCGCCGGGACCCGAGGTATAAAAAAGTTATGAGCTCCCACTTCCACATCCGCAGCAATTCACAATAGAACAGTACGAGAGGGAATTGATAACTACCATCGGCTCCCCAACCAAGATAGAGAGGAGTGATGCCGATGGGGTCGCGGGCTGCGATGAAGGAGTTGTCTCGGCTGTCCACCAGCACGAACGACCACATGCCGTCAAGCATGTTCACAACCTCCTCACCTACATCCTCATACTACAAACACACGCACACACACACACACAATTTGAGCCACTACATCAAAATCCTGCGAGCGTGAACAAGGGCGAAAGAATCTCTGATACGATTTAAGTAGAGAAAGCGATGAAAGGTTCTTACAAGATGAGCAATGACTTCGCAATCGGACTGCGTGTGGTACTCGTGTGGTTTCATGTTCTTCTTCAACAACTCGTGGTTGTAAATCTCTCCGTTAGCCTGATATAACAACTCAAAATGTCAATGTTTTGCTCACCTGAAAAGAAAATTTTCGAGATCAGTTTCTGATCTCATCCCAAAGAGCTTACATTTGATGGATGAGTGCGACAGACTTACAGCGACAACGATGTCCTTAGTGCCATTGTAGAGGGGTTGATCACCCGAAGCCGGATCGATGATAGCCAGGCGCTCATGAGCGAGGTAACACCAGGAATCCTTGCCCTCAAAGAGTCCACTCCAGTCAGGTCCTCGATGGCGCAGCCTATGATCAAATACCATACGTTAGTGAATTCTCCCCCAGCCCAGCTTCGCCCCCTGATCGAAACAAAATCTGCAGGTCTTTTTAATCCCACATTCTCGTAACACCGTCACTCATTTTCGACCCCGGGCCCGAGCACATTCTAGTCCACAGAGGTCGATATAGGACCCAGTATTCTCATGCTATAGCAACGACATAGTACAAACAGAACCTCAACTCTCTCAGAATCGACGTCGGAAAAAAAAACAATTACTGCTAAAAATGATTCCCACTATCAAAGCTCACGACCATTTGAGCACTGCCACCACTAATACCCAACCCTCTGCCAGTCACCACTGTATTACATTGGAACTGAAACAATTCACGCAAATGGAATTATATTTCTTCACGCAGAACCGGTTGTCTGTGGATCGAGCTTCACCTTCGGGACAGCGCTAGAGCGCGATCACGTCCGGCAGACGGAACGGCGCCGTCGGCACCGAGAATCGCTAGAATTCCACACATGATTGATAGGCCCGGAACTCAACCCACAAAAAAAATCTCACAGAACCCACTCTTTCCTCAAAGCTGAACTTCACAACCCAGAGAATTCAAAGCGCTCGGTACGATGCAAATCCACTCTCAGAAATCCACGCACAGATACACACACACTTCCAGCTCGCGGAACTAACGAAATGCTTTGCAGAAGCGGTGATCGATCGATCGATCGATCAATCAATCAATCGCACGACAGTCTTGGCAAGAGAGCTGAACTCGAGTCGAATGGTAGTAGAGGCTGCTGCATGCCCCAACGCCGCTTTATACTGGAGAGCATCTGCGCTCGCGGCGCCTCGAGCTCCAGCTCCATTTTCTGCAACTTCAGAACTCGGGGACTGGAACAAAACGAGGGGCATGCGCAGGTCGTGGACGCCACCGCGCGGGAACGGTGCGAAACTCACCTTTGATTTTACCACGGCCAGCGGCAGGCGGCGGCGGGCCCCGCGACAAAAAATAGCAGGTCTTATCCTTACTGTTCCGCAATCAGGGAGAATTTCTTGTCTGTGTGTATGTAACATTTGGCGGGCCTGCCCGTTAATATGGGCAGCTCCCCCACCCCACCCAAACCAACATTCTTTACCCACCCATAATCCACTCCAGTTTGGGACACTGTAGATTTTGCCTTGTGGGGGTTGATGCTCCAGGGTTTGGATTAATTTTGAGGTATGTGAAGGGGGATTCTCTTTCCTTAATATAACTCTAGTGGGTTAGAATAAAGACGTGGTTGAGCTTATCAAATGTGCCATCTTGGCAGATGGGTTTTCCTTCATGAATATGAACTGTTGGCCTCCTTGAGCTTATCACATCCTCCTCTCCACCATTCTATACTGCTTTGTCTGAACTTCCGGGCATTATTGTTCAGACAGAACCTAATCAGGCAAATTCTGTATGATGATTCTGTTCCAAAGCATTTTGGTTGATCAATTTTGTGTTGGAGAAGTGGATCGTTAGTCATTTGACTGTAGGGGTTTTTGTGGGGCAGTGGCTGCATGACTGTTCCATGTACGAGAGAGTGCGTTGGAAGCAGTGTCCGAGGAAACAATTGTATTTTCATAAGTTTTTCAAAATCCTTTCTTTAATGTGTAAGTCCATAAACGCATATTCCAAAATTGTTTTGAATATCATTAATTGGAAATGAAAATGAAAATAGAGTTAATTTGTACAACCAATGTGAAAAGTATTAAATATGAATTTTATAAACATGCTTCACACTGAAAGAAAAAAAATTAAAAAAAATGAAAATAACGAACTAATTCAAAAAATGAAGATATATGTATATAAATATAAAGGTTAGGACACGTCATTGAACTGCAAAGGAGGAGAGGGCATGGAGAAAGAGGGGCATGCAGAAGCGAATGAACGACATCCATCCCCCACGAAACGTCCATCCATCTACTAACAGATTTCGGCGAAAAAGATGGAACTAGCAAAGGGGAGTGAAATTTTCCTCACGGGCAGTTCAAAAACGGGGAGAGTGTGGCTTTTGGGGCTCCCTGGCGGGCACCACCCCTCATTTCTCCGGGAAGGTGGAGTAGCCACCCTGGATATTTCCTGTTGACTGCAAACCCCATTGGATGCAAGCTGCTGGGAACATTTAGCCAATCATCACCAAGAGGATGCCTGACCACGTGGATAAATGTGCCAACGAACTTATCAGGATGAATTGGGTGGGGCCTGGTAAATTCATCATCCATCTACAGAGCTACTTGCCATTCATTCATTCCCAGCTTTTTTGGATGTGGTGCGGGGTCCAGTATGAACAGAGATTCCTTGTTTAAACCACTTTTGACTGTAACCTTTGGTGGATGTGATTGGATTTTTGCACGCAAAATGGTGAGGTACTGTCCATGCAAGCTTACAGAATGCGGTCCAGTGCCTAAGAGGGAGACGTAGGTTTCCAGAATTATGAAGTGAATTTGGAAAACTAGTTTTTTATTTATCGAATATAGTGTGGGCGAATTCTTCAGTTTCAAAACTATAATTTTTTGCGATTATAATGACGTGGCTGTTGCGGATAGTAATGGGGATAAGTTAAAGGGTCCTTCAGCAACAGGACAAGACAGACAAGGATTTTGGGTTGTCTCTTGGAAGCTAAAGAGCGCTTCCCCCACTTAATGGCGCGGTTTGACTGCTCCTCAGTTTTTGAGGGAAAATCCATCCGATTCAGCTGCCAACTCAGATCATTCCACTTGGAGGCCTATCCGGACAATGGCTAACGTGGCACTCGGCTTAGGGACCAGTCCTCTGGTTCATTCCGATCATAATTAGATTCCGGGTTCGAATTTCCGCATCGTCGAGATTCTCCAACCCCTCTGGCCCTTTCAAGCACCAACGAGTTCATCACCACCACAATAAATATTTTTTCGTCTTACTCTTAGTATTACTTATATTATTTTACTGACGAATACCGTTGCTTTCAAACAGAAGCAATGAAAACTAGTGATTTAATTTCATTGCCTTATTGGTCGTGACAAAAGACACGAGGGTTGTGATGTGGTGATGAGGTGGAAGAATCTGTGGAATAAGATTAGCAGAAATTTTGGGAACTTTTGGGCATGGACACGTGTGGCCAATGTTTGAGTATTTACTTATACACAAAAAGAACTAATAATAATAAATACCATTCTTACTGTCTACAATGAATAATGGAATTTTAATTGTTTAGAACACAGAATTAAACTCAAGGAAAGCCCTGGAGTTCAAAAACTCCATCATCCAACATTCGTTACTCGTTGCTGACTTCTCATCCATATTGGATGTAAACTTACACCTGATCAGTTCGGATTTACGGGTATATTTTTATTACCACATCTTTACAAAACGCTCCTTTAAATATCCTGAAGGGGTAAAAAGAAAAACAATTACCTAGCTACTTAGTTACCTTGAGGATGGGGGGCTAAAGCCGTGGAATACGTGCCCTCTCGCGGGAACAAGCGTCTTCTAATTCCGTGAAAATGCATGTGTTCGTTCATCCGCTGGCACGGGTTTAGGGGGTCCACCAATGCATGGGCTAAGTCTGGGCTGGCTGTGGAGAATTTTGAATGGTCTTGGATCCAACAAAGGCATCATTCTCCCTCATCCCCAACTTCAAGTTTGGTTTCCAGTTTTTAGAAGGGAACTATATTTACAATATATTCTGGGGTACCCAATATTATATTCATTCTGGCACATCGAAAACATTCTGCCAGTTTCTGGAATCAAGTCAAATTCAACACAAACCTAAGATTTGTGAATGTGGGACATGAACCTGAAATCATGTCAATCTATAAAATGATGAAAAATTACAAGGTCAATTTAAAATTTTATTATATGTATTTAGTTTGTGATAATTAGTAATTTTTTAGGTTGAAGGGAATTCACATAAATTCTAACTTGGATTTTTTTTCTAAAAATTATCTATTTTTTATATTTGTTTATAAGCCAACATTACATAGTAATTGTGTACTACACCTTGTTGTTTTGTTTTTGAAGATAATGTTAAACATTAATTTAAGACCATATTGATAAACTCTAGAGATTTTATGTATTGTAAGTAACAAGTACCACATTCAAATGGATGAAGAAGAATGAAAATAAGTATTGGAGTTAATGGGTTGTTGATTAAATTGAAACATGTAAGAGTTCTTTTAAACGTAGATACAAACAAAAGAAGCATATAAATTCACACAAAAATTATTGATAAGAAGAATCACATTTGGACATCATAGTGTATCATTTCCTCAAAAATTTAGAATTCAATTGAACAAGATTTTTCCCCAATAGCTTGACATTGAATGATGATTGTTAGGGTTTACCTAAAGAAAGTTCTGTTCATTGGACTTAGAACTTGGCAAGCTTGACAATCAATTATTCTTTTTGAATTTTTAGCTGATTGAAGTGTTACAACCTTTGTGTTTTATAATCTCTAAAGAGACAATGGCCACATGGTGATCCCAATTCTTACAACTGTAGTTTTATTTGATTTTCACAATTTAACATCACATTGTACCATCATTGTTTTAGTGAGTGGATTTTATTTTTTCAAGTATTTCCCTTTTTTGATATTTGGATCTAACCACTTCTTAGATGTTTTACTAATTAAATACATTAAAATTTACTTTTAACTCATTGACATATATTTGTAGTTTTGTTTACTTATTTATTTATTTATTTTCGAAACTAACTTAACAAGAGCATATTATGTGTGTATAGATATATACAAGTTTTGCATAGTTTTGGTGAGTAATTTTTTGTTTCACTTATGGAAACCCATGTTATTAGGCACATAAAAGTTGTAAAATGATTTGATGCATAGAGAAAAAATTGGAGGTTTTTTTTAATAGGATATACGAGGCTTTTTGCTAGTTAACATAGGCTTTGATTTTGGCCAATGAGAAGACTTCTTTATGTCTTTGTCTTATAACTAAACTTCTTTATTGTATAATAGATTATCCTCTTCTTCAAATCCACACAACTATTAGTATATTCTTCTAATTATGCAATTGGTTTGCCAACATGTGTTTAAAAGACAACTTTTCTTCTATCCTACTTTATTCATGCTTTCATTTCTTCCTTTGATTTTGGGCTTTCTTCTAAGTCAAACAAATAAAACCTCTAATACTTTTGGAGATATTGGTTTGTCCACAATCTTTCCTTAAAACACGTCTGTGTTGACTATTAACACTTGATACAACACCCATATTTACAATTGGACTTTCATATCTTCTGGTTTCACGTGAAATGTGCTGTGCATTACACAAGAAAAGGGATTGAATGAGGGGTTTAATGTCACATTTCGAATTCATTCTAAGTAGGTACCAGTTTACCTAATTATTTTAAGTAAACATCATTTTCCCCTAAAATTAAGCCACAATTGCAACAGATACTTCTTGTCTTCGTTTGTGATGAAGCCATAGTGTACCATTGTTATCCTTTTACTGTGAATATTCAGCCACACCTCCCGAAAATCCTTCGAATTCCAGAAGTTAATACAATCTTTTATTATCCAGAAGTTAATACAATCTTTTATTATCCAGAAGTTAATACAATTTTAAAAGTAAATAATAATAATAATAATAATCATAATATCATATGTATGTATATATATATATATATATATATGAAGACATAAAAGATCTACCCATAAGCTATTAAATTTGCATGATCGAGATTACAATGCTAAAAACAGGGGAAATTATATTTAGAGGGAACATCAATGATGGGAGGGTGGCTGTATTGAACATAATCACCTCGTCATTTACTATTTTACCTCTACTTCTATTTTTAGTTCATGCTTCTAAATGAATTCTTCACAAACTACTTCACTCTGCCCCCATTCA